CTCTGTACTTTAGAACGTACCTCTCTGAGCACGCATGCCTACAGTTCTGAATCCTCCTTGTGTCCAAGGGGTCTCCGGCGGTGCAAAGTTCTTCTTTTTCCCGGGTATCAGCACCAGATGTCCCGCGCTACCGTCTCGCCAGCAAGAACCACGCGGTACACATAGGATCCTTCTGTAGTAAAGCTTTAATGCCCCTTGGGAGCTAGAGCATAAGCCACATGGCGGAGACCCAGATAAGATGGAACCCATCCCTTATATAGGAAACAGACCCTGCTTTGGACGTGTCACTCTTGGATAGGTCCATTGTTCCCAGTCCCAGGTGATGCCTCGGGAGTAGGCGGGGACTCAGTGGGAAATTACCGAGCACATGTGCGTTCACCTGGCGGTGAAGCCGGATGTCAGCGCCATCTAGATAATGGAGAATGTGGCTGCGGCCTTCTACAGTTAGTTAATATTTCAGAGGGTGTTGAAAGTTTTTAAGAGTGAGAGAACCAGGAGCACTGATAAAAAATTTGTATATCTGGACATGGCATAGGTGCTGTGCCTATAAACTCTTTCCAGTATGGCTGCCTGAACAGAACTACAGCAGTCAACATCCTAGCATGGATGGGAGAAGGGTTCACAAGGCCTGATCCTAATGAGAAGAGCTACGGGCAGTTGACTTCTGAGAAGGAGAGTCAGTTTTTCGGGCTTGAGCCCCCTGATAGGTTAAGCATGCCCAAGTAGTAAGGCCTACATCAATGCATACATATGGTCAACACTAACTGGCATATATATATGTGTATATATATATACACATATATATATGTATATATGTGTATGTCTGTGTGTAATGATATGTATCAATAATATTTATAGGAAAAGAAGATATTAATGTAGAATGTAATGTTGGGAGGACTTAGAAGGAGTTAGAGAAAGAGGGAGCATGGGTATGGTGAAAACATATTGTGCTCATGTATGAAATTCAAAAACAATTATTGGTAGTAAGAATCAACCTTAATAAGTAAAATTAGTATTGCGAGGAAAGACTAGATTAGCATGAACCAAGTTGTTTACTGACAATGTAAGCAAAGGAAACTTAAAGTATCCATCTCTATCATCAACCAATGCAAACTCAGTGTGCATCTGTGCATCAGTAAGACATCTTCTCCCTGGCGTTCCCCAAGGTCTTAGTTTCCCCAGGGCATAAACACATTATCTCCCAAACAAGCATCTTTGTATTAATTATATGGTCCTAAAGGGAGTCATACTATTGACTCCCCCTCTAGAACTCTCTGGAGTTTATCCATTTGTCTTTTGCTACTAATTTTTACATATCCATCTGCATTTACAGATATAAATTAGTCAAATCCACGAACTATATCATGTTAAATATATGTATTTATAATCCATGTGTATCTACTTCAGAAGGAAGGAGCTGTGGTGGTGATGCTGAGTGTTCTAATATAACCTTGGCTGTGCTAAGAAAACTCAGGTATCTTGGATGCAAATATGAGACACTGTCCTTTATTTAAACTATCAGATGCTTTATTCACTCTTTGAAAATTTTGTATATTCATACAATGTGTTTTGGTCAAATTCATCCTTACTTCCCTTCTCCAACTCTCCTTCCACACCTTTCCAACTTCAAATCTTTTTTTTCACTCTATTTTGAAAACAACCAACTGGGTTCATTTTTAGATGGCATGATCCACCTACACACTTGACAAGAACCTTTCTTAAACTGGACATATATCACTTTGTTTCTGTAGTTCCAATATTTACCAACTACATAAAACTTGCAACTTTGTATCATGTAAGATACATCAAAACACAGATTCATTATAGAAGTTGAGGTTAAAAGTCTTTAATATCTTACTTAATCTGTTAATTTCTTTTTATAACCTAGGTCTCTAAATTGTAACAGTTAATAAAACATTTCAACATCCGTTTTATCTTTCTTTGCCACAGAACATAGCAAAACCAAACATCATTAACAACAAGAAAAAACAAAACAAACAAAAGTGCCGACGTCAAATTAAATATTAGTTGATTCTAGGATCTCTGTGCATTTTGCAGAAGGAAGATTAAGACGAGTTACAGTTGAGAAAATCCCTAAATCTGAAGTGATATCAGTTGTTTAATATGCAGATCGATTCTTTGAGGAACTTTAAGGTGAGTTGGAAGCATTCAGGGAACCCCAAAGGATAAGCCTCAGTTATCAAGAATCAGGATATGTTCACAGGAGGTCTGTCACCATCTGGGAGCAGGACCCACCTGTTCATACAGAGGCCATTGTGTAGAAATAAATAATCCTGCATTTTAATGTGCAGGATGAAGGTAGCTAAAATTATCCACCTTAAATTGTATTTGTTACCCTTTAAGAGTACTTAGTTCATCGAATGAAACAATTCATGACCTCTCTATTAAAAAGAGAATTGAAACAAGCTTTTTCACCGAAACTTCGAACTTCATTCTGTTGAAAGCAGTGATGCATTCAAAATCATAAAGGAGCCTCCCCTTCCAACACTCAGGAGTATCTCCCTTTACATTTTCATTTCTCCTATCATCCCTTTCTTTTCAAAACGCCTACTGAGTCTCATTATAAAATACTATTAGCACATCCAAGGACAGGTGCTCAAACTTGCTGGGGTAAGGGGTGTTCCTTTCAAGACTATGACATACAAAGTTCCTTCTGTGCTTTAACTAAGGCTGTCTGGAAAAACTTAGAAGTAACCAGCAAAAACCAATTATTTTAACCAGCTTTTTAGATGACTTAGTGTGAACTTTTCTAATTATGATAATAAGCTACCTGTCCACAGGCATTGCCGTCTACCAATTGAGGTATGATTATGGCCTCAATCTGAGATGCTTTGGATATGCCTGCTGCTACATTTGATGGGTCTTCCTTATATGAAAACACATAATTCCCTCAGTAAAATCTCTTATTCCTTTCTTAGCCAGTCGTGCTTTGTTTCCAATAAAATTTTCTTTATTGACAGCACATCACAGATCTCTTTCCACTCTTTGATCCTGACTGTGTTTATTGATTTGGCATCCAGCCAGCATTCAGGGGACCCCCTACATTTAATCCCAGTAGGAAGGTGACCTGCTCTGAAAGAGAAAGATGGTCACGAACCGAAGTTGGGGAGATGTAAGATGCGGCTAAGGATAGGAGCACTGCAACCATTTAACATGAGGTAGAATAAGCACATTTACATTTATTGTATGGAAAAAGGAAACATATTGGTTTTTCAAAAATTATACAAACCATGCCAATCACTGCAACTCACATCAAGGAAAAATCACCAGTAGATTCCTAGTGAAAATTAGGAAGTGATACAGTACTGTTTCTGGGACTCTGTCACCAGGGTGGCCTGGAACTCACCAAATAGTCCAGATGTCCTTAAACCCAAAGTGGTAATTCTGCCTCTGCTATACATTTTTCATTTCTCATCATCCCCAATTCCAAACAAAATTGCCATCTAACATCATTGCAGAAAGTTTTCTTTAGTTAATCTCAAACTTACCCACTAATCTTGATCTAGATATCTCATATCTTTGGAATTGATCACTGTTATCTCTTTCCTTTTCCCAATTCCCCAAATCTTAAGAAACAGTCCTGGAAGCCTACAATCACAACATCAAGTCATAAGAAGAACCATATTACCAAAACTATTTCCATGTTATATTAGGCTGATTGATTACTTTAGCAAAGCTATCTGAATTTGGGACATGGTTTGCATTTGGCAAGGCAACTGCTAAATTAAAAGTATCTTCTGCAATGAGTTAGGCAGAGAACTCCTGAAGCTTTCTGTAAGTTCTGATGACATCATTGCTTTTGAATGACACATTTAAAACCAGGTCAAGTAAAATGGGCAGAGGTTACAAATGCCTTTTGTATTTGAAGATATAGTCACTTATTTTATTTCTCTTAGGAAATTCCTGACACCCAACTCCTCCTAAATTTACATTTCTGTTTTATTTGTGTTTGTTTTTCCTTTGTCCTTAGCACTTGTCTTTGAGAATAATAATAATAATAATAATAATAATAATATTCTGCTACAGATCTGGAGGTAGGAAATGTGCATGATATCTGGAAAATGGAAAACATGGATTTAAGAATCCAGACTTTGTATGCTTTTTTTCTTTCATTTGTCATTTAGACAGTATCACCCCTACAGCCCAGGCTGACCTTGACCTCAGGAACATCCAGCCTCAGCGTCCCAAGTGCTGACAGGTTTGGAGCATGCTCTGCCTCTTTGATCTCTACTGTGCCTCCATTCGTGACCATACCCATAATAATTTCATGCAGCACCACAGACTCGGCTCAGTCTCTTTTTAAAACCTTTTGAAATAACTTCTTAGAGTCTGATTTTTCAAGCGGTTTAACCTTATAGGAAGTACTGTGAATTCCATCCCAAAATAAAGCCTGAATGCAATACAGTGAATATTATAGGCGGTGCTAAGTTTTAAACAACACTTCCTTAAATAAAATACAAACAAACAGGCATCGAAATCAAAATCCTGTACAGAAGGCGTAAGGACTGGAGAACAGTAGCTCCCCAAGCACTAACTCAGTGTGCGGTAGATGTGCGAGCTTTCTTAGCCCAGGACGATGCGCGGTTTTGTGAAGAAAGTTATTTCCCAGCCCTCCAGCTGGACTCAATTAACAGCAACAGTTCCAAAATCGGACAGGAATGGTACATGCAAGCAACCCAGGACCTCCTGGTTGTCCCTCAAGAATCACTAAGGAGATTCTGTAGAGTTCAGCAAAGGAGGCAGAAGTTTTACATCTATCAGGCAGCAAGTACGTCTATAGATTTTCAGTTCGTTGCTTCATTCAGAAAATAGAAGCTAAGATTTATCAGCTCCTTAGTCACACGCGAAATGATTCAGTCTGCTCGTACACGCAGAGCTGGCAGCGAGCTGCTCTTGCGTTCACGCTCTCTCGTGGTGTACAAACAGCACCGAGCTGACTGTGTGGGTTCTCTTATTGTGTCAAATCGAACTCATCTTACCTCGACTTCCTTGTTCTTCTCTTTGTTTCGGCCCACTGAGCTTCTCCCATTGCTGGCTGTCTCCCGGGCAGGGATTACAGAAATCTGGTGGAGGGGCATATTGGCAGGGCTGCAGGTGGCCAAACCCTGATTGGACGCCTTATGGCTTCACACGCCCTGAGAAGCTCACCTGCAGAACTGTTCATATCCTTGCTTTGCCAAACTTGGATCTAAATAAAAAGGAGGAAAATAGTGTTGGAGACACTGTGCAGCAGTGGCCAAGATCACTGAAAGGAAATTTTTAAAAATATGTAGGGGATAAGCCAAGGAGTATCACATTTCTCAGAAGGACGATTCACTGCAAGTCATAACTGCTCTGCTTTGTCACTCTTGCACCCCCTCCCCTAAGAGCATCATGGGAGACAATTCAATCATCTACGGTACCTAATAACTGTCATGGAAACCAAGGAAACCCAGGTCTCATGGGCCCTTATTAACAACTGCTCCTTTTAATGGCATAGACTCCCACATGTGCAGCGACTGACACAGGCTTTTGTTTCTGCCCAGATCCCCAGGAGTCTGCGGAACACCGAGAGACATGCATCCTGCTGACAAGCTAAGTAAGTAGAAGGCTGAGAAGCTTAGTGTCCTATTTGGATACAAATCTCTTCCTCGAAAGGCTGGGCTGGCTGCCTGTGTCGTGACTGTCCTTCATGCAGCTCCAATAATCTGCTTAGGTCAAAGGAGCTGCCTGTCCTGGAGAGCTTTACATGAACTGCAAAGAGGAAAAAAACGGGGGAGGGGAAGAAGGAGAGGGATGAGAAGAAAGAAGGGGAAAAAGGAAAAGAGAAGAAAGAAGTAGAAAGAGAGGGAAAGAATGAAAGAAGAATAGAGAAATAGAGAAGAGAGAGAAAGGGGAGAGGGGAAGGAGGAAGGAAGAGAGTGGGGTTAGGGAAATGAAAAAGGGGGACTAAGGAGAGAGAGGGAGAGAGAAAGAAGGGGGAAGGAAGAAAGTGGAGTTAGGGGAATGGAGAAGAGGGACTAGGGAGAGAAATGACAGAAGAAGGAAAAGAGAAAAGGAGAGAAAGAGAGGCCTGAAGGAGAGAGAGATAGAAAAAGTCATGGAAGGAGGTAAAAAGAGAAGGTGGTGGGTAGAGAAGGCAGAGGAGAGAGGAGTGGTGTAGAGACAGGAAGAAAGGGGAGGGGAAAGACTGATGAGACAGATGGAAAATATGACGGGGAGAGGTGAAGAGAGAGAAAGGGAGAAGAGATGAGAAAAAGAAGAGGAAGGAAATGCGGCGGAGGGAGAGTGGCTGGGCAGGGACAAGGCCTAGGAGGAGAGGGACCAAAGCAGGAGCAGAGAGGGTGGAAGGAGGAATGAGGAAAGAGGGAAGCGTGGCATCTCCCTAGCCAACACCAAGTGTGGGAGAGCCGCACCCTGCTTGATGAAGCGCAGACACACAGCACTCAGTTCTGCTTGTGGTAACTTCTGTGCTCTCTGGTGAGCATTGGCTTGATTCCTACGTAAACCTTCTCATTCCTGCAAAGGATGCCAGTGTCCTCTTAGGAGGATAAAATGATTTGAGGAAAGTAAAGCAGAATTTCTGCATTTCTGCTCTTCAAATTACAAAAAAGGAAGAAAAAAGAAAAAAAACCCAACATTTTGAAAACAGTCCATGTGAGATCTTCACAGGTGTCACTGCAGCCCATCTCCAGCTAACTTTGTATTTTATATCAACAATGCCATTTCCAATAAGATGCCACAGTTTCTTTAGACTCAGGACAGAGATAAAGTATGTCAGAGATAGCTTCTGTCAATGACAATAATATAAAAGTTTCTCATGACAAGACTGTCACAATAAAAATTCATTTTAATCTAAACATTTAATCTAAGCATTGAAATAAATGCTTCTACGTATTTTCAATTTTGGACCAAGTATGCATTCCTTTTATCCACGTCAGTCACCTTCATGTGGTTTACTCTTCTGCTCTCCTTCTGGTCCATCTGAAGAGACTTTACAAAGCACAGTTAACCTGAGGCAAGCTGGTGTGGTTTGGGGTTCATCGTGAGCATCTGAAATGAATCTTTTGCTAAACAGTCATGACTCCTATACAGCAGATCTTCAGAACCACCTAGCCCGGCACCCAAACAGCCTTAGTACAGTAGAAGCACACATGGAGATTGACCTGTTGTTGTAAAATCCTTTCTGAAAGTAGAAGTGGGCTGCACTGCACTGAGTGTTCATCAGTCTCGACTTGCAAAGAATGCAGAAACTTGCGTGAAGGGACCATGTAAGGCTTGTCTCTTTCAAAACATCTGGGCCTTATTCTCATTACTCAGAAGGCAAAGAGGACAGAGTTCAAGGCCTGTTTGGTATGGAGCATGAAACTGTCTTAAAAATAATCCATACGAAGCTAAATTGATGTTGGTTAAGCATGGCTGTGGTTTAAGAGTCCCATCTGTGGCCCGTAACTGTGAAGGAGACACATCCTTACTTAAATGCAATTGTTAATCCCTTCATCCAGGACTGTCTTCATTAAGAGGAGGCTGGCAATGGAAAACCATAAATCTAATAGTCTGTGGCAAATACAAAATGCAAATTATAAACTTCTTTGGGACAGTCTTACTGCCGGTGTTTACTCCACGGAAGCCTCTGGAAACAGCCAAGGCAATTTTCCAGATAAAGTTAGAATTCAGTACTTCTCTCTAAAATATTCATTAAAGTTGCAGGAAAGGAGATTTCTAGCTTGAATTAACAGAGTGCCTGTCTTAATCCTGCGCCTCATTATGCATGTAGAGTGATCCTTTGTTTATTGTGAGATTTTTTCTTTGAAACTAAGATTTAAAATTTAAGTTAATTTGACTTATATGGTTGAGTTACTTCAATTTGTGATCTTTTATTCTGAAATTAGGATTACAAATCAAATTTCAGAGAAAACATTTATTTCTTAGACTATTTTGCACACTAGATAAGAGAATGTCTGCTGAATCTTTTTAATCAACTATTGATAGTTAAGAAAAATTAATGAACAATCTAAATTTTTATTAAGAATTGTGATAAACTGAGATAAAGTTTTGTGATAGCTATCGGGGCAGAAAAAAGATGTGTTTCAACACTTCATTTGAATATTTGTCTGTCTCGGAACACTCATATAGGCAACAGTTTTGTCGGTGGTGTGTGTTCATCTAGGCTGTTCCTCAGGCAGCTACTGAAAAGCTTCCCAAGCAGAGTATGAAGTCTCTAGGGCAAACATCTCATGTGACAATTGAAAGCTCAGGAACTGCTGGGGATTGCAGCTCTCCTATGGGAGTCCAGGCAGATTACACAGTCATTAACCCCGTGGAGTAAAGGAGGAGCCCTGCATCCAACAGCTGTGTACTAACAGCAAGCAGACAATGGCCACACTATCAAAGAGCAGCCTTTCAGCTGACTGGTATCCTCACAATTCCACACAATCAGATTTATAAATGGAACTCTGAAAACTTTGGAATATAATTATTGACAAAGCTGTCACGAAATTTCACTGTTACCTGGACCCAGTTCCATAAGAACATGGGAATGTCTGTGTTCTGACTACTAGCCCTGGGGTTTTGGACCACCACTGCATTGCTTACCTCTGCCTTCTGATTCCAGCACTGTAGGTACTAACTCTAACACTCAAGATCACAGATTCCCCCAAGACTTTTGCCTTGCTACTGTTCTCAGCAAAGGCTTTTGTAAGATAAACAAAGCTAGCAGTACATCTGATCCTCTACCCTGAAACACATCTCAGTCTTCACAGAGTCAATACATGAATGTGGAGGCTAACAGTCTGGTCTTGATGGCAATTATGCAAGAAAGGAGCTATCAGGTATAGACAGGAAACGAGAAAACACACTGACTGACAGACTGATATTTCAGTCCAATAAACAGTGAATGAACATCACCTCGGGTTTTTCACCATACTGGGAGGAGGAGGAATTGCCCCAAAATTTTAAAAAACACAATTTTCATGTCCCAGGAATTTACTGTGCTAGTATGAAGATGAGTAAATCAAGTTTTTTTTTTTTAAATGGCAGCCTACAACTAATAATGTTTAAAATTTGTGAAATACTGAGTGTAATGCCAGAGAAAATTTTAGTAACAGGAAGTCTCAAGACTCAAAGAACCTGGCTCGGATAAGACAAGACATTATTTGAAATACCACAGAGTAGATATTTGTCCGTGTTTGCTTCTCTGCTGCTGTAGCAGAACACTGACCAGAAGTAACTGGGGGAGGACAGGGTTTATTTCAGCTTGTAGGTTAGAGTCCATTATCAGGCAAACCAGGGAGGGAACTCACCCAAGAATCCAAACCTGGAGGCAGAACTGGCCTAGAGGCCATGGAGAGAATCTGCTTACTGCCTTGCTTTCCATGACTTGTTCAAACTACCTTCTTATAAAGCCAATACCTCCTGACAAGTGACTATGCTTCCCACATCAATTAAAGCATAAAAGTGCACTAAGAGAGGAACTGGACCACAGGGCGCAGAAGCTTCTTTTTCGTTTCAGTTTTGTTTTGTTTTCCTAGTTCAAAACAACCTCCTAATCCTTCAGCTGTTCTATCAGACACATTACAAGCTTCTGCAGCTATGATAAATGCAGGTACAATATATCTCAGGCTGGTAGTAGAACTTACATGCCAATGTGGTGTTGGTTTTATAGCGTTCAAAAATCTAGGAGTTCCTGAGCTATCTAGTCTCAAACCATGCTTCCATAGGTGCTGAGGAAGACAAGCACTATGTAAAATGGCCAAGGATGTAGCACTTGCTCAGCCAACTCAGCTGGAAATCTCAGCAGTCCCAATATGGTTCTTAAGGCCTGGAGGATTCCTGGAGAGATACTGGTGTTCAGTTTATATCTGAATCCCAGTGAAGTACATCTTAATATCAGTGAAGGAGTGCAGCAACCACAGAATAAATAAATAAACTTGTTAGCAAGAATGGAGTTAACACAACTCCTGCATCTAAGTTTTAGCAAACATCTTGGGAGAGATTTTAAGAGCTAGAGGAGTCTGCTGTATGATTGTGTCTTCTAGAAATGAAAAGGAAACTATACCTATGATATCAGAACTATATGGCTACCAAACCAAGACCTGAACAAGCAGAGTAGTTGCTTAAAAAGTAAAGGCTGTGGAAAGGAAAATTAGTCTCTCCTAGTGATGAGTATCTGGGAGAGACTAGTTATATAGTGCAAAGTGGTTAGCCCTG